GAGAACAGTGGAAGAAATGGTGCGAATGAAGAGAAGGAAGATAGAAACAAAGAGGAGGAAGACGAAGAAGTGGAAGAAGACGAAGAGGGAGAGGAAGAAGAAGAGAGAGAGGAAAAGGAAGAGGATGGTACGAAAGGAAAGGAGGAGACAATGAAAGGAGCCGATACCAGCACCACAGAGGTGATCTCAGCAGGCAATGAAGAGCAGCCGAGTTTATCTTCTGGTGCGGCAAGAGCATCGAATATAACAAATACCAACAGCACACAAACAACTGGAGACGATCATCCAGCAGCTGATGGTGCAGAGACAGCAGAGGGAAAACAAAATGAAAATAAAGATGCCAATCCGAAAGAAACACCAGTGACGGCCGCAGCCATGAAAAATACAACGGCAACGACTGGCGACAGTGACGGCAGCACCGCGGTCTCCCACACCACCTCCCCTCTTTTGCTTCTTCTTCTTGTTGTTGCGTGTGCGGCTGCTGCTGCGGTGGTGGCCGCGTGAGAGTGAGAGAGAGAGAGCCGTGCACCGCCCGCACACACACTCGTCCTTCTCTGTGTGTGTGTCCCCTTGCATGGACTCTCGCCCTCACCTCACCCCACGAGGCACACACATAATGTGCCCATTGTATATATGCATGCACACCCATGCAGGCCCGTTGGTGCTCTCTTTTGCACGACACGCACCGCTGCCGTCCTGCCTGGCTGCATGGGCGGAGCACCGTAACTGTTTCTGTTTTGTTTTTATTGCATTGAGTGGGCGACTTCTCTCTCTCTCCCTCTGTGTGTGTGTTTTGCTTTACGGGAGCAATGAGAGTGTGTGTGCGCTGGTCGTCCCACGCTTCGGCTTTTTTTTTGTTTTTCTTTTTGTTTTGAATCTTTGCTTCTGTTGTGATTGGGTGCACCCATTTTACTTTCATTGATTGGTTTTCTTCTTAAAGTGCGGACGGCTGAATATTCCCTTTTGTATTCTCCTGTTCTTTGTTTCTTCCCACGCAATCGGTCCTTGTTGCTTCAGCGAACCACGAAATATTTGCCTAACACCCACATCAATGGCTTACTTGCTCTACACCCCACATTAGTTTGAGACGCTGGTGCTGCTGCATGTGATGGTGTTTATGGTGTGATTGCCAGCGGTGCTTTGCTGTCACTTTGACGTACCCTCGATTTGTTGAATATGTTATGCGTGCCGACAGCACGAATTGGATCCGCGTTGTTGTGAGGGACGTGCCCTTTTTGAGCAGTTGGTGCGCTGCAGCCATACACCGTCATTGGGAGGGATGGATAGACGCCCATCCGCATCAACGTATCCACAAGGGGACCTGAATGATACCGGGGA